ACTGTTCTCGCCTCGCAAAATTTCTTCGGCAAGCCAGGTTTCGTTTTAGACAACCACCTCCAACCAGTTCGGCACGTGTGCGTGTTGCCAGGCCGAGGCGGGCGACGCGAAGCCCGCCCGTGCTCCTTCTGCGCTTGCCTCGCTCCCCTCCTTATCTCTTCCCTCCGGTACTCCCGCCCTCCACCGTTGTTTCTGCCATTCTTTTTATTTCCTTACACTTTTTTGGGCTTTCTTATCACTTTACTTTTTTCATATTTTCTTTTCGCGCACTCCAACTGCACTTGCTGAAGGATTCGTCGTCAATCCTTACAACCACCACGGGAAGATGCCGCCCCGCCTTTTTCACCACTCTTGCTTTTTTTTGCCGCCGCCTGTTCCGCCAATTTTGCTGTTGCTTGCGATTCTTGTAGTTTTCTGTGTTTCGGGTTGAAGGCCTTAAGGCCTATGAGCCTTGGCTGCTTTCCGAAACAATGCGCCTGCTTCAAACACAGCCGGACCGAGGCGGACGACGCGAAGCGCTTAAAACAAATGCCACAGTCGCACGAAATTCCTCAAATGCAACACTTCACGTCCGAACCTGAAGTCCTACCAGACCTGTATGGCGCAACGTTAAGCCTTCGACCCAACACAAGAAAATGCATCTCGGCTGACAGCCCCTTTGCATTCGCATCGTGGTTTTGGGGAGGACAAAATGGGCATGGTACGTTCTAGTTTCACATGTTTTGCAGAAGGGCTACTCCGCCCTTTCGATGGCTCCAACGGGCTACCCCGCTACTCTACTTGGCGTTGCCACGGCAGCCAAGCAGAGCAGGAGAAGACGGAACGTCAGTTGACGCTAGCCACGTGCCAGCACAACGAGCAGGCGGAATTCACGTCGCAGCCCGTCTACTCCGCACCTCAGAATCTCTTTTTTTGAGGAGTGGCACACCAACAAGCGTGGACGCCAGGTGGACCAATGGGAGTACAAGGCGGAGGTGCTCAGAACACCCCGATTACTCAGTCTTCGCTTTTTCAGCCTATTCCCCTGGATCAAGATGCATCGATTCAGGCCACGGCGTTTGCAGCTGGAACGGAAGCCAATGACCCCACCCAGGTCAAGGGCTGGCTCGGGGAAACGATTTTTACGAAGCAGCAAATCCACAGTAATCCGCCCAGAGCTCTGAAACATGATCACTCAAGTTGAACCGCTCTGGTAGCCTTGGACCACAGGCTACTCCGCCAAAGCAAAGAACTGAACTGGATGGTTTCGGAAAACCGCACAATGCCGCGGCAGCAGGCAGCATTTGTGGTCATCCTGCGCCTCGCTTTTGTCTGGGACGAGTACTGTGACAAGTTTAAGGAGACGGGCTCCAAAGTGGGCAGTTGCAAGCAAGCCGTGTATCAAGGCGCACCTGCTGCGCTGTGGCTACTCCACACATGGGCCGTGCATCTTTTGTTTCAGAAGGCTCGGAAGATCCCTGAAAAGTGGTCCAGAACTCGCGAGAACGCCGTCCTGGAAATTCCGCTCCACCTTAAGGGGGCCAGGCTTTGGCTCCAGTTGCTGAGGCGCCCTGACTGACATTTCATGTTGGGCAAGCGCACCGACCCTTTGAAAAATTTCCACTCCGCCGCCAGCCTCAGGTCGACCCAGTTTCAGATGGCATCCAAAGGAAGGATGTTTCCCAGTCGCTCCTTTTAAGGTTTATGGTTTAGGCGCTAGGTCCTTAGCTAGCCCGCTGAGTGCCTCTGGAACCACAGCTCGCGGCTGCACTTGCTTTTTCAAGCGATCGCACGATGGCGGGTTACCCCGCAACAATTGGGTTGGGATAGGAGTCCGATAAGACCTAAGGACCATAAGCGAAAGCCGTACCCCAAACACATAGATCGAGGTCCGACTGCCCAAACAGTACTCCTCATCTACAGCAATGCCATCTTTGCAGCTATTATTACACGGCCCAAAATCGATCTTCAATACCAATCATTCTCGGGGACTCCGCGGGCCTCGACACTATATATAGGTGTACAAACCCTTAATTGTGTTAGCTCCCTACACTGCACACTTAAACCCGAAATAAACATCAAGACAATAAATCGAAATATTTCGGACATAGGGTCACGAGCGTAGGCGCCGTTATCGGCAATGGCGCCAACTCTTGAAGGAAACTATATTGCCAACAGCGCCAGACAACGCGTTGGTAAGGAGGGGGGTGTCCTCGAAAGCAGTACAAAGCTTTCGCCGAAGAGGATGCAAAATGGCTAAATAATTTAGGACGTTTCATGACGTTTCTAGAAGGAAGGAATCTAATTGCAAATTCCAGGGCAAGGCGCACACCACTCCGCCGTTACGGTACGGTGCACATTCGAAGTTGGCAACCGCAAAACTGCGTACAAGGTATGGTTGAGCTCCTGAAACATGAGGCCGTTCTTGGTGCAATAAAAAACGGGAAAATAAGGACAAATACGGCGGTGCCAAGGCTGTCCACCCCGCACACCCCCCGTCTCAAAAGTATCACACAACATGGCAATAGAATGCTTGAAGTAGTGCTTAGCTCCAGCTCGGGAGATAAACACAATGTCGGAGTATGCACCACCTACAAAATATCGTCAGCAAGATTTCCCAACCCGAACCAGTTTACATCCGTGGAAAACTTTTAGTTAAGCTGCAAGGCCGACATTTTGTTTTTGACGGAGTACACAGCGAAGCTGATACTGAAAGGTTGCAACTAACGATGAGCTTTATGATTCCTGGCATGCCGAACCCAATTCGCCTCCCTCGCATGCATTTTCAGTGTCAGCCCGCAACGACACCGCCAACCCTCCCTACACCGTAAAACCAAAAATCATGCGTCCAATGCACACCGAGGGAAACTAAGTCCACAGCGGATTTCGGGCAAGGTCGCCCCGATAGGAGTTTGATGTTATCAAACTTGAATCTAGAAGCGATTCGAGTGCCACAATTCAGGCACCAAGCTTGGCGATTGCCAAACTGCCACTGATGCCATGGATGTGTAATCGGCAAAAGGTTTGGAAACTGTTGTCTAGATGCCGGTCGCGGCCCAAAAGGTTTTACCTGATGTGGAATGGCCGACAGGATGCCAGCAATTCGAGGAAGGTTGAATACGAAACAGTTTCTGATCGAACCATCGATTTATATCACGATATGTGGCATACATAGCCTGTTTATCCAGCCACTTCGCCCTCTCTCCGGCAGCGCTGACCGCATGCTGGTTGGAGACAAAGGCCCAGTCAGACTGATCATCGAAGAGCCCTTCAAACGACTTCCTATCCACATGAGACTTGACCCACATCGGGAAGATCTGCCAGTCTAGACTGCTAACAACTTATATACAACGCGCCAGCGGGCCGTTCGCGCGCGCGCGCGAACTGCTAAAAGAATACTGAAAACGTCGTCCCTGCCGAGTGACTCCTCCTGTCTTGCCCCACATCCGCACGGCGTGCAAAAGTTGCAATGTTTTTTCCAACTTCGCTGCGCCCTCCACGTTTTCGCTCTTTCAGAACAACCAGGCTGCATCATGCTGCACATCGCAGTAGTGCAACAATGAGATATGCATGGTTTGAATGGACGTTAACATGGTTGACCCATGGAGGACGTTAGCAAGGTTGACCCATGGATGCTCTGCGTCAATGAGATCTGGTCTGAGTGGACGTCACCATGGTTGACCCATGGATGCTCTGCGTCAATGAGATCTGGCCTGAGTGGACGTTACCATGGTTGACCCATGGATGCTCTGCGTCAATGAGATCTGGTCTGAATGGACGTTAACACGGTTGACCCATGGATGCTCTGCGTCAATGAGATCTGGTCTGAGCGGGCGTTAACATGGTTGACCCGTGGATGCTTCGCGTCGATGAGATGTGGTCTGAGTGGACGTTTGTCTTAGTTGACCCATGGATGCTCTGCGTCAATGAGATCTGCATGATCTGAGTGGACGTTAACATGGTCGACCCATGGATGCTCTGCGTCAATGAGATCTGGTCTGAGTGGGCGTTAACATGCTTGACCCGTGGATGCTTCGCATCAATGAGATGTGGTCTGAGTGGACGTTAACATAGTTGACCCATGGATGCTCTGCGTCAATGAGATCTGCATGGTCTGAGTGGACGTTAACATGGTTTACCCATGGATGCTCTGCGTCAATGAGATGTGGTCTGAGTGGACGTCAACACGGTTGACCCATGGATACTCTGCGTCAATGAGATCTGGTCTGAGTGGACGTTAACATAGTTGACCCCTGGATGCTCCGCGTCAGTGAGATCTGCATGGTCTGAGTGGACGTTAACATGGTTGACCCATGGATGCTCTCGGTCTGAAAGAACGCTAACATGATTGACCCATGGATGCTCTGCGTCAATGAGTTCTAGTCTAAATGGACGTTAACATGGTTGACCCATTGATGCTCTGCATGAATGGGATCTGCACGAATGAGATGGGGTCTGAGAAGACGTTACCATGGTTGGCCATGGATGCCGGCCCATCGTCAGCATGGGCCACCCATGGATGGTTTCAACGTGGGTTGTAGCAAGTGCCGAATACACCATAATTACCGGTGTGTTCAGCATATGAATCAAAGGAAACACTGTAGATACCGAGGGAAACGGCAAGTGCAAACTTTGGGTTTTAGCAGGTGCCGAATACACCGTAATTACCGGTGTGTTGGGCATGCGACACGAAGGAAACACTGTAAATACCGAGGGAAAGGAGGTGCGCGCACTGCGCACGATCATCCTGCTGGAAGGTCCAACCAAAGATCGGCGTGCAAATTATGTTTGATTTTTCGACTCTGCATGAGGCGTTTTAGGTGCTTCACGGCGACACGATTCGGGTACGGCCAACAGCAGCCCAGGGACCCAAACTTGTTGACAACTGTCCTGGAGGAAATCAAGGTCCTGAACCAGGACCATGCATTGGTCGTCTTCCTTCGGCCGGGCGAGCACAACATACTGCATCATCTCTTTCGGACCGCCAAGGCGTTTCAGGCCAAGCAGCAGAGCAACCCCACATGGACTCCAGGCCAGCTACCCCTCAAAACTGTGATGGGGTGCGCTTGGAGCGCACATGCCAGGAGGAGGCGCTGGCGAAGAAGGTGCAAGATCTCGGCTGGTGAGATTCAGCCGCCGGCTGGAAATACCAGAAGTGGAACGGGACACTCAAGTGTCTCAAAAAGGACACGGAGGCGGCGGCGGCTCTTCTACTAAAGCTGACTCAGGCATTGGGCGGGGACGCGGTACATCGCTCCAACGCGACCAAGAAGCTGGCGGACACGGTGGAGGTCAACACGACATTCCTGTTAGACCTGTCCAGGCATACGCCTCAGGCTCTGGAGGCCCTGTTATTGTTACAGGGCAACGCGATGCTCCAGCTCGGCGGGGTGGGTTACAAGCGCGAAACCCTGCGTCGCAGCCCGGTTGCCAAGAAGATCAAGGAGGCTCTGCGAGTGTCCTGAGGCTTGCCTTCGGCAACCTTTTTAATCATTGCTACATGAAGTCCCTCGTGCAGGTTTTGTCCTGGACTATCCACGTGATGCAGGCGGGTGGAGCGGCTTTGGGTCGGGCACATAGCTTCTTTTCGTCTCTGCACCAATACCGTGGTAGTCTTCCGAAACATCTGATGAGGATCTGACATGGCGAATGCTGATGTCTGGTTGGGCCGACAGTCACAGGCAACACACGTGGTTGAGTTCACCTCAGTCTTTCTCCAGGACATAATATCACACTAGCACAGGGGAACTGGCATGCTCGGTGATTTCACGAAGGTTCACCACAGATCAGTACTCAGCCTATCACGCTACGGATGCCTCCCGTGGCCCCTCGGCTAGCTCCTACGATCAAGGTGCAGTCGTTGATCGACTTTTGGTCTTTTGAGCCCAACACGGAGAGCATACAGGCATTGGTGCTTCCACCACAAGTTCTGCTGCTTCAGGTAGATCGCTTTGAACTTCATGCTGGCATGATTCGCAAGCGTCTGGACCCGGTTGGGGCCAATCGCCACATCGTGATGCCGGTCTTCACTGAAGAGAGTTTGAATGTCACGGTAGTTTGGTGCGAAAATCGCAATCATCTCACACCATGGTCTGCACCCGCAAGCTGGACACTATACAGCTACCCTGATTCGGAATGAGCAGAGCTGGCACTGCGATGACAACGGACTCGCCGTTTACCGAAGCATCATCGGAGAAGCATTCGTTTCCTCTGAAAACCATGTACAAGTATACTGTTCTACCGGCAACTGGGAGATTCTAGCATTAAGGACCTCTCAGGTCGAAGTTGATGCTCCTTTTTGTGTGACGAGGCAACCAGATCCGCCACCGGGCGGTCCGACGCGACCGCTGTGCACAAAGCTGACAAAGCTGCTGCTGCAACTGCCTCTGCTACTGCTACTGCTACTGCTACTACTACTACTACTACTACTACTACTACTACTACTACTACTACTACAAGCGTCTTGGCTGAAGGCCTGAGGCCAGTCTGGATAGGAGGCACGCCATGTTCTTTGCCTCTGACTAGCCGTGCTCACTGACCTACACGAATTTCCGGCTCTGGTCGGCGACAAAGTTCATGAACTACGTTTTTCTGCTGCTTTTATGGTGGATCGAATTGAATGTTCGCAGTCTGGCACTGTATGTAACATGGCCGATGTATGGATACACAACCACAACAAGGTTGGATTGGATTATTCGGCAGAGTATGCTCGGGAGCTTTTCGGGCGGAGATTGCAGCGGTTGCAACTCAACATGGCCCTCAGTGAGGCCATGCTCCTCACTGCCAGGCGGTACGGCGGGTACATCGATCACATCAGCTTTTTCAATGAGTGGAGTAGAGAATGGACAGATGATGTCCACCCGGGCAGGACTCTGCAGGCGGCTCGCTGCTCCCAGTTCCCTCCCAATGAAGAACAGCTTTCTCGATGGTGTAGACTGCATTTTCCTGATTGGGTTCAGCACTTCTGGAAATCAAGCCACTCCGACCGATTGCCCTCCACAGTATGGACTAGTACCTGCCCGACATGGAACACCCCGCACTGCCAATGCATGGGACGCAGAGGGAGGAGATGGCGGTTCCGATTCTCTCCGGCCGAAAGCGAAAGCGTCTGAGAGAGCTCCAGCGATGCTACAGCAGGACCAGTCGGGCCATACGGGGCCTTGCACTCCTCATGCAGTGCCCGTGGCATGTCATGATGCACTCTGTAGTGCGAAGGTTCTGGAGTCAACATGTGCACTTCCTGCGGAAAGTGAGTTCCTGCTCTACTTTTGCTTGCTATCATGCATATGGCTCGCAGCGGTGCCCACCAGCCGACCACTCACGGGACAGATCCTTGGCGTGACTTCTGGAGGAGGGCCATGACGGACGGGGCCGCGGCAAAAGCATCTGCGGGGACCGTGGTCAGATCGGGAACCTTCGCCCACCCCTCGGATAGCGAGGAGATCATGCAGAACTACACGGAGGAGGAAATCAGGGCATATGATGAGGCAGCCCCACGGACCCCAAACGGAACACCTCTGCCACGGGGACCACCGCCTCCTACGGCGTCTGCTTCAGCCGGTGGCCTTCCGAGTGGCCAACGCGGTGTCGCAAGCTCTGGCTGAGGAAGGAGTCACCGTGAGACAAGTGCTGGCTTTGATCCCTGAATGCTTCAGGACGATGGACAACTTGGTGATCAAGTTCTCGCCACTCACGGAGAACTGGGCCGACCATCCCAACATTTTGGTTACGGACCCCAGCGAGGACGAGGACGAAGCCAAAGCAGCCGCGGAGGACTCGGCCGAGGACCATGACCATGACGATGCCGAGGCTTTGGAGGGCGAGACCAACATGGAGAAGCTACGCCGCTTGGCGCGCGCAGGCTCTGAGGGAGCCGTGGCCTGCATGATCATGGCTGCTATGAGCAGGGAGGGCCGATCCCTAATGACCAATGAGGAGACTACGCTCTTGGGCTCGGTGATACCACAGAGCCATATGGCTGAGGCAGCCACGGAGGAGGCTACGGGAAGCGCAGAGGCCTCGAACTCGACCTCCACACCGGGGCTATCCTCCACGGCGGCGCATGCTGTTGCGACAGCCCCATGGCGCGGCAACAAGCGCACGGCGGCGCCTCCATCGAGTGCCAACAAGAAGCTTGCGTCTCAATTGGAAGTGCTTTCATGCTACGTAGAGTCCCTTGAGGATAAGCATCCCTACGCCTGCCTCGGGGCCGTCGGTCTGCACACCCTGAGTAGCTCCCTGAATAGCTCCCAATACGAGGGTAGAGTTTTGTCTCCGGAGCCACAGCCTTGTGGCCTCACCTTCCCTGTACATCTGACCTGTGGGAACGTGCTGGACAAAACAGATGCGACATTCGAGATCGAGATTGTGCGGGGTGAGTGCTCTTATTGCTGTCCACAACATGTGTATTTTGGGTTGGCCAGGTACGAAGACGGCATCTCCACTGAGAATGCGGCAGGTGACCTACAGTGCAGTTGTGCGGATGAACACTCAACCTTTGCATATTGATACAGCCATTATGGCATTCAGGCTAACCCTGGGCTACCTCGTGCTCCTCACGGGGATTGCACACATGGTCCAGGCCTTGGCTTCCCTTTGCATCTTGTTCTACCTCGCAGGGAACTTCTCGCAGCCCCACCTTGGCGGCTCAGGCAACGTACATCCTCCTTCAAACAGGACTTGCAGCTACATCGGTCCCAAGTCCGATGGTACTCACGGCAGGCGGACCTCACACATTTTCTTAAGACTGCTGGTGCTTTACATGTGTGCTGTCTCTGTTCAGTCCGCGAGCGCAGACGCGAGGGTTGCTGCTGTGTCCACACCAGTAGCTGAAGTCGCTTCGGCGGCAAAGTCATGTGGAATGCGATGGGTCTGCGAACCCCAGACTTTCCAGGCACCCACACGTTATGTCAAGCGAAGCTACAAAAGAGCGTTTGCTCGGGCCCAAAGGACGGGCGGAGCGTACTATCGGGGACTCTGGAGAGGAACCTCTTGGTCTCAGCGTGCCGACATCAGGACCCAAGCCCTTCCTCGACAAAAGAAGCCAGCCTTGGATCAGAAGGCCTGGAAGGTCCTAAGCTGGAACTCATCCGGGTTAACCACATCTGTCTACCAGGAGTTGGAAACTTACCTTCGGCAAGAACGGGTGGACATTGCGTTCATCCAGGAATCTAAGTGGAGATTTGAAAGCACGTGGGAGACCGCGGAGTTCCTTTACATTCACTCTTGTGGAACAGGACCGGTGGACCGAGTGGGCGGCGTCCTCACCATTGTGAGCAAACGACTGGCCAAGGCCTCGGACCTACAATTTCAGGTTCTCCATGGGGGTCGGCTTCTTCATGTCAGGGTCCCTTGTGGTGGAGTCCATGTTGACTTGCTGAACTACTACCAGTATGCTGTTGTCCAAGAAGATGTTGTCTATGAACGTCGACAAAAATTGTTCGTCAAGTTGCAGAAATGTGTTGCAGGCTTGCCGCGAAGGAACTCCTTGATTCTGGCCGGGGACTTTAACTGTCCTTTCATCCCCTCTGGCAATGTCTGTGGAACACATGTTGTTTCCCCGAGTGAAGATCACTATCGGGATCTCCAGGATCAGCAGAATATTGCGAAATCGCTCAAGCTCACGGCGTTGAACACATGGCAGAGGCCTACACACGGTCAAGTCGCAACCTTCACTGCCTTCAGTGATCGTTCCGCACAAATCGACTTTATTGTAGTCAGGTCAAGACAGGCCACGGCATCCTCAAAACAGGCGGCGGTACTTCCGGACTTTCCAGTTGCTGCATGGCGTGAAGGCCCCAAGCATCATCCGGTCCAGGCGTGGGTCACATTGCCACCGCCACCATGGATCAAGGCTCGTCCTACTACCTTTGAACCCCGGAAGATCGACAAAGAAGCCATCATCCAGGACCTCAAGAAAGATCCACCTCCACCTGCTCTGAATGCCCTGCGCCAAGAGGTCACTGCACACCTTACTGGAGTGCCCAGCGGTCTGAATCACATTTTGATGAAAGCGGCTCTGCGCCACTACCCTCTTTGTCGGCAGGCGAACAGAGGAGCTACACAACCGGAGGACCTGGCCAATCAGGCCAAGGACATGTGGCAGAAATTCAGGTCGATGCGAGCACATCGCTTCAACATGGCGGGCGTTGTAACTGCCTGGAGGCAATGGACGGAATTTCAGCAAGCTCATGCCCTCCACAAAGCCAGGTCCAAACAACGGTCCAAACAGAAGCGATTGGATATTGTCCAGAGTGCTCAGCAGGCTGCGGATGAGGGCAATCAATGCCTACAAAGTATGGCAAGCGGTTCGGCGCTTGGTGCCTCGGGCTCCTCGTAAACAACTTCAGCTGTATCAAGAGGGAAAAATCCTCAGCTTCGATGAGGAACTTCAATGGATCGTGACTGCGTATGGGGACCGTTTCGGAGCACAGGCTGGGATTGAGTGTCCTCAGGTGCTAGTGCAGGAGAGAGGTGAGTTATACATTGATCCAGATGAACTTGCTTGGCAATTGGCGAGACTGAACCCCCGAAAGGCGGTCCCACGAAGTACCGGTCCGGCTGTGGTCTTCAAGGCCTGCAGTAGGATCATTGCCGCTCCAGTGGCAACCCACTTCAATGAGACTTGGGCACAGGAGGACCCGACAGTGGACCAGGACTGGGCTGATGCAGAGGTGGCTCTACTGCCCAAAGCTCATGGCAGATCTGCTACACCTCTAGATTGGCGGCCGATAGGACTCCAGGATCCCTTAGGCAAATGTGTTATGGGACTGATCGTGGCACAGGCTCGCGAGGCCATTGTTGGACTGGTTCGGCAGTATCCGCAATGTGCCTATCTACCAGGCAGGAGTACACATACTGCACTTCGCAAAGTTTTTCAACACTGTCATTGCGTACGCGAAGAATGTTCCAAAGCACGCAGAACCATTCACGATCAACATGCTGGAGCTGCCCCGGTGGGCTGTGCTGGCGGATTACAAATCAGTGTCGACCTCAGTGCTGCATTCGATGTGGTGCACTGGGACCACCTCAAAGAATCACTTGATCTCGCTGGAGTCAACCTACTTGTTCAGGAAGTCATTCTTCAATGGCTTCGGCAGGTTCGCTACCTGTTCCACCATCGAGGCAAGCAGGGCGTTGTTATTCCCAAATGGGGGTTGCGACAAGGATGCAAAGCTTCTCCCTGTCTGTGGGCGGCTTACACTGCTCTTCTGTGCGTCAACATCAGTTCGACCATTGGAGGCGACTGGGTGAAAGACCACCTGACTAAGTACGCCGATGATTCGCACTTACGTTGGCGATTTCAGTCGTTTGAGCAATTTGAGGCCATCATGCAAGAAGTGTGTCAAGTGTTTGCATGTTTTCGCAAATTTCACATGAAGATCAACCTTGAGAAAAGCAAGGCCATCCTCAAGATGGTGGGCACCCTCAAGCACAAAGTCCGCAAGGCCTTCATTCGCAAAACAAATGTCGGACATAGACTGCTGCTATCCCCCAGGAACCCGGACAAATGGCTGGCTCTGGTGCCCAGCACGGAATATTTAGGCACCATCGTGTCGTACCAGCAATTTGAGCTTCAAACCATGAGACATCGCATCTCGAAGGCCAATGGGCGGCGATGGGCATTGGCATCCTTTTTGCACTCTCGCAGGATATCGGTCAAGCTTAAGCTTCGAATCTGGCAAAGTAGTGTTCTCTCTTCGCTCCTGTACGGCCTAAGCACATGCGGACTCACAGGAGACCAAGTGGAAGGAATACAGCGTGTCATCATGAAACACGTTCGGGCCATCATCTCCAACCAGGCGCACCTCACAGGTGACAAGCATGAGACTATTATCCGCAGATATCACATTCCTCTGGCAGTCGATCTACTGCAAGCAGAACTGCACAGAGCTGGCACGGCCCAAGAACAACATGCGGACTGGATGTACGAGGCGGAGTGGCAGATGCATCTTCAGAGCCGTATCCAACAAATCCTGCCAAAAGCCTCTCAGGATACGGAGTCTGCAACATGGGCGTGTCCGGATTGTGACAGCATCTTCAACTCTCAGTCCGCTCTTAAATGGCATGCCAGGAGGATGCACGGGATTATCGATGACCAGGTCACGTTTGACAAGACATTGCACTCAGTACGAGGCCTCCCTATGTGTCGGTTCTGTGAGAAGAAATTCAGCCGGTGGCAAACTTTGGCAGACCACATTGCCAAACGAAGGTGCCCGAAAGCGGCTCTTCATGGAGGAGATCCACTTGCAGCCGAAGGTGCTATAGCACACGCCTCCCCCAACGACTTGACTAAATCGGACATAGTCCTTGTGGAACCGCAGGCAGATGGTGATCACCCAGGAGCTGAATGCTGCGATCCTCCTGCTCCTCCTGAGCCTTCCAGGCCTGAACCGATGCACCCTCAAGCGCATCTCAATGACGACGGTGTAACCATTGTTCGTCAGCCACAGGTCCGTGAAGCAGCTCAACGGGGACTGAATGCACTCCTTCAACTTCCGGATGTCTTGCAATCGCTCAAACAAACATGTGCCCTGTGCGGTCAGTGGAGTGCTTCCCATCGCACTGTCAAGCGCCACTACCAATATTCGCATGCTGACATTCTTGATCGGTTTAAGGGTCAGATAGAGCGACAAGTGAGCCGTGTTGCTACTGCGTGTCCGACCTGTCATTTTTATCATGTTCGGGCAAAGGACTGGCGTGCACATCTGAAGCAGTGCACAGTTGCAGGGCAGGGATCAATAATCTGGCCACAACAAGAGGAGTGCGGAGCCAGTGCCGCAGGGATTCGACGAGCTGGAGGACTTCTTTGGCGAAGTGAAGGCGGAGGGTCAGGCGACCAACAAAAGAAGGAAGCCGGAGCATCCGGACAGGCCATTCCGGCCGTCAGGACCGTCGGGCCGGGCAGATCCATTGATTCTTTCTTTAGCGCGGGCCGTGGTCCGCCAGGAGGAGGAGCTGAAAGTGCTCAAACAAGATCCTTCGATCGTGATGTGGCTACGCCCAGGGGAGTACGGAATCCTTCACCACCTTTACGTGACAGCTCGGGCATTCAAGCAAAAACAACAGGAAAACCCGATGTGGGCCCCGGGACAACAACCATTGCGCACAGTTATGGCAATTGCTCTTTTCCGGGAGATGGAGGCAAGGGTCAACAAAGTGCTGGGAGACGAATCGTTGCAAAAGAAGGCGGCCTACATGGGCTGGAGGGATCCGGCCACAGGCTGGAGGTATCAAAGATGGAACCCCACCTTGAAACATTTAGAGGTGGACTCCTCCAGGAATCCACTGACGGATCAACAGGTACTTCAGGCCTTCCAGCTGCTGTACAAGTCATTGGACCAGGACTCAGTCACCAGGTTCTCGTGCACGAGAAAGGTTACAGAAACGATGACGAACCAAGCCACCTTCCTCATGGATATCTCCGTCCGCACGCCGGCAGCGATGGAAACATGGAAAACCATGCACATGGCACATGCTTCAGGGATGTTCGGTTCTGCAACTCGGCGGAATGGCGTATCGGAGAGACACGCTCAAATGCAGCCCTCTCGTGGAGAAGATCAAGGAGATGCTGCGTGGCCGTCGAGGCTTCGCCTACAAAATCCAGGCAATCATTGCTACTTCAACTCATTTGTTCAGGTGCTCTGCTGGCTACTTCATCGAGATCCTGATCGACTTGCATCCCTGGGGCGTTGTGCTCAGTTCATCAACAGTCTCCGTCATAGCTCAACTGAGAAATCTCACAACCTGATGAGCAACTTCTTGTGGAGGATTTTACTGCGTGGATGGACCGATGTGCAGAGGCAGCACGATGTGGTTGAGTTTGCGGCGCACTTTGTCAACAAACACGAGCTTGTGTTGTTTCAGGTCAATGGGAAACACGGCAAAGCTTGGATGGGGTACCCGGGTAATTACCCAGTGCCATTGAAATGGGGCTCACAACTCAGCCTCTTCAGTTATACATGCCGGAGCTTCCTCCTGGTCTGGATGCTGCTCTCAGTGTACAAAGGCTCATGGATCACTGGATGCATCATGACGGGGTTTCAGCTTTTACGGTGGCACCCTCAGTGCTTCTACTACAGATAGATCGCTTTCGAAATGATCGAGGGCGCATCTCGAAACGACTGGAGGCTGTTGGCATTGGGGGAATTCTGCGAGTACCTCTCTTTACAGGCATCGGTATGGGCATCCGTATCATGCCGTATCGGTTGGGAGCCTGCATTACACACTTTGGGATGCATCCGCAATCGGGGCATTATGTCAGCACTCTGGTGCAGGGAGCGCGGCATTGGCGATGTGACGATGAGCGGACAGCTGTACAGGGGACTGAGTTGAGCTCTGAGCATGCTTCCAATGTTTATATGCTCATATATGAAAGAACTTCGCGTGACGTGTGACTTGTTCTGCTTAATGGCCCCTAGGGGCGGGAACAAGAAGTGTGCCTGAGACAGCATATGCTGTGCGCTACCGCGCCGGGGCAAAGCCTTGCTCTAGTCATTTTCGCCGCTGGGTAGTCTCGACGACTGCTGCGATCAAAGCTACAAAAAGCTACTACTACTACTACTACTACTACTACTACTCCTGCTGCTGCTACTACTACTACTACTACTACTACTAACTACTACTACTACTACTACTACTACTACTACTGCTACTACTATTACTACTACTACTACTACTACTACTACTACTACTACTACTGCTGCTGCTTCTAGTACTGCTGCTGCGTCCTACCTTCATCTTTCATTCTTTCTCGAGCTGCAAGACCTCACGCAAGTTGCTTCAAGAAAAACCTTGGCACCCGGCGTCCGTTGAAGCAGAAGCAATTGCTGCATGGGCATTGCCCTTAGTTCCACAATGCGGCAGAAAACCAAAGCGGCTTTGTTCCTGCAGACTCTACCAGATCCGGCAAGAAGACTGATTACTGCAAAACTTGTCCTGGATTCCTGCGATAAAGTGATCCATGATACACCTATTCAGAGAACTGCTTGTATCCGAATGGGTAACCGGGTAACTGCCCTT